AGTCAGGGTATTATGTCTTTGTGAATTTGTTTGTAACACGCAAAAGGAAACGAGATAAACCCATAGTTCCTTTTGATGATCTGCACAGAATCACATTCTGAGTCGATTTATGCATGTCCGTCCCTCCGCCTGTCCATGTATTTCTTAAACGAAGTACAGTTTATTGCCCTATCCAGATGAAATTTTGCACAAATCATTTGTTTGGCCCAAGAACGAACCCTATTGAAATTGGAGATAATCGGTCAAAATTTAAATATAGCTCCCATATATATATTCGTCCGATTTGCCTTTTATTGTGCACCAAACGTGTAATATCAGCCCGAATAGTATAGAATTTTGCACATGCAACCAAATAAGTATGCCAAATTTGATCGAAATCGGTTCAGATATAGCTATAGCTCCCATATATATGGTTCATCCGATTTGTTTTTTTTTTGTCCTCCGCAGCCGTAATATGCACTCTGTAACAACAATATTTGGGCAAATATATCAAATGCAGCTCAGAAATATCTTTACCAAATTTTATCGAGATCGGTTCAAATTTGGATATAGCTCCCATATATATCTTTATCCGATTTCAAATTAATTGTGCACCAAATGGGCAATACAATTCCGAATTTAAAAGATTCAAATGCTTCGGCATATTTAGTCCTTTGAACTTTAAATTATAATTATAATCATAGCGTGTATGATTGAATTTCCCATAAAACTTTTAATTGTTATGTGGAGCTCTACTAAATTAGCAAAGTGGTGTAGGGTATCAAAAAGTCGGCCCGACTTTGGGACTTTCTTTAATGGTTTTTTATTAGTTTTTTTTTATTCAACATCACATTGCAAAATTTGTCAATCATATCAATTCATTGCCATTATCACAGAATATGGTTGGAACACATTCTCCATGGCTATCCCGGGCAAATCCACTGCGACAAAAACAACCGGTACGATTGGGCTCACCCCTCTTTTGGCAGGGTTCATTTAGGCGTGAACACTCACGATCACAATTCGGACCCATTACCAGGAAAATTTCATTCTTTCCAATTGGGCAAGGATTGCCACCGACAGGGTTGGGGTTAACGACTTCAATGGGAAATAAGTAAATAAATATTTAAAAATAAAAATACATTTCTACTTTCATACGCACCATTCCAATTCAATATGAAAAATAAACAAAATGCAATGAATATTAATTTCATTTTTAAATAATTTCTTTTGGTGTTGTATGCCGGATAATTTTGTGGCGACTGTTTACTCAACTGTTTTGCCTACGATCACGAACTGAGTTTTGAAACAGAAACTGGCATATTGATATCTGAACTTTGCTAGTTGTTCACTTTCATTTTTTTTTGTTTTCTATATAAAAAATTGTTACAATGCCATCCATTGTGCAGCTGATAGTGTACACATTTTGCAATGATTTGTAGTTTTTCTTTGATATATATATGTATAAGATATAAAAAAATTGAGTGATTGTAATAAATATAAACAAATTATGCAGATAAATCAATATTCAGAAAACAAAAGCAAAATCCCGATTGCGAAGGCGGAGTCGCGTCAATAAGTCGGAGTCGGAAAATTTTGCTGCAGATAATATAAGAAACTATTGGCAAATTAATTTTTTGAAAGACAATATAATCTGATAAGAATACTTGAAATGTTTTTAAATCGAGAGCTGAAAGGTTTTTACAAAACGTAATGTTTTTTTGCCCTGAAGACCAAAAAGGGGTTACAACAGGGTTGGAAATACGAACACAATTTACACCCGCGCAAAATGTATATGTGAATTTCTGCACCTACTTATATCCCCTGCCAGGATATGGTCACAATATTTATCAATTCTACATAAATATTCTGATCATCTGAACAGCTGAAGGTAGAATAGAAATTCAAATTTTGCACGAGGGTCAGTCTTGACAACATTTATTAATCAAGTCTTCATACATTGTACAAATTTTTAGACTTTCAAGGTTTAATAAATTATTCAAGTATTTCCTTTTTCGGAAAGAATAAAATCAAAAGGTTTACCTTCCAAACCAAAGTTTTCTAAGTCCTATATTTTAACGTTACCGAGGAGGATATTATATATTATTATTAAAACCATTGCAACCAATGCACCCACAACAATTTTTTCTGACCAAAGATATTTCAACGTCTCCCTATGTTAACCCTAGAAACCAACAGTGACCTCAATATCAAATGTCAGAACTTCAGCAAATAACAAATTTAGTAACATCTAGATCGCATATCCAAAACAATCTACATCTCTCCATCGTAGACACCAAGAGTAATTTAAAACAAGTTAAAAAGTATCTTTCGGTTTAGCTGACATATGTATACCCTCAGCCAATGTTCGATTATTAAAATATATTTTGACTTGTGTTATGATTATTAAAATTGTTGACCTTCTCTGCAGTAGATTTTGAAGTAATGGGCCAATATTGTTAATTTTGTATTTTTGTAAATTTCGACTTTTTGTTCGGGAGGTACCAGAAGAAGTGGACCGATATATTCCATCTTAACACCAGATCTTGGGTTTATAAAAATATTGGGATATGTGGCATTTTAAAACAGTCGGATTCTTACATCACATTTCATAAGGGTTATAAATATTCAAAATGTTTACCCTTTGTGGAGTGGACTGATATGGTCCATTTTCGCACTTGACTTGGCACTGACGCAAATATTAAGATTCTCTTTCTGTGCAGAAAATATTTTGTTTTTTTTTTTTTTTCATAAATTTTCGACCTTTTGTGGGGGAAGTACCAGAAGGAGTGGACCGATGTATTCGATCTTGGTACCAGACTTTTGTGTTAATAAAAATATTGGAATGTGTGAAATTTGAAGACAATCGGACTCTTACATCGCATTTTATAAGAGTTGTAATTATTCAAAATTTTGACCGTTTTTTGGGGGAGGTACTTGATGGAGTGAACCGATATTGCCCATTTTCGCACCTGACCTAGCACTGATGCAAATATTAGGAGTTTCAAAGTTGGAGCAAAATCGGATTATCTTTTCTCTTTCTGTGCAGAAAATATATTTTTGGACAATTTCGAGCTTTAGTGGGGGAACAGACCGGTATATTCCATCTTTACACCAGACCTAGGGTTGATCAAAATATAGAGATGTATGAAATTTAAAGACAATCGGACTCTTACATCACATTGTATAAGAGTTGTAATTATTCAAAATTATGACCTTTGTGGGGGAGGTACTTGATTTTCGCTCCTGACCTAGCATTGATGCAGATATTAGAATATGCAAAGTTGAAGCAAAATCAGATTATCCTTTCTCTGGTGTTGCAAACGGATTGTAAAGGTGATCTTTTCGCTGGCGAAGTAGCAAGAATTGGCAGTACAGGCAATTTTGTTACCATTTCTTTTCCCCCTACACATCTGCCCTAAAACAGAGTCCTGTTTCAGGATTCATTCCCTCAAAATGCCTTAAATAAATCTCGGTAAAAATTCGACCGCCTGAAATGTGTATAACATTTGGAAAGATACGGCATCAAGTTGTCTCATTTATAATCAAAGGAATTGACTATCGTGTTCATAAACGTTGACATTACACCGGATTGAGTCTATCCAGAGGAGTTTAACTGTTATTTTTATTGAATACACCTCAAATATATCTCCAAAATAGATGTTACAAAAACAAGAGAACTCTAATATTAACACAACACTAAAGGTACGGTCACACTGGGCAAATATTTGATCGAAATTTGTTTTCCCATATTTGACTGAACAAATGTGAAATTCATACAGAGTTGATTCGATGTTCACATTACAGTCAAATATTTGACAGATTTTATTTGTTCAAGCAGTCACCAAACAGCGTCAAACAGTGCTATGGGAAAACATGTTTGACACATGTTCACATTCGTAAAATATATTTTCCCATTAAACTGTTTGATCAAACTGTGAGGAAACATAAATTTATTTGGCCGAGAGAAATAGACAGAGAGAGTGAAAGAGAGACATAAAGAAAATGTACTTTCGGGTATAATTTATTTGGAGAAGGGAAGCAAAAGAACAGCTGTTGTGGAATAAATTCCTTGTCAGAACAATTTTTTTTTTTTTGCATTTTTGTTTGTATCATGGTAGAAGAATACAGGTAGTCACATCGACATAGCTGCTGGGACAATGAACTGTCAAAACAATTTTGGAATTGAAAATAATGAATGAAATATTATTGAAATTTGTAAAAATTTTTGAAAAATATATATCATTGCAAACTCCGATTTTTCGCTGTATAGGAAAACATAAAAATCTACTTATTTTTGTAGAAACATTTCAAAATTTTTGACATATCATTGTTTCAAGCGTTGATGCATCTACCCATATCCTGTTCCAGAACCATCAAGAATCTACTAGTTTCGCAATTTTCTTCGATATAATAAAGGGAAAATCGGTTATCGTAGTAAAAACAATAACAGTCTCGCAGTTCTGGAACAGACCAAATATAAACATTTTTTACTCAACATTCAAATTCAGTTAATTCAAAAATATTAAATAAACAAAGCCACTTATTGCATTCGTTTGTTTTTCTATTCATTAAAAATCATGCTACAAATGCTCCTGTTCTTAAAGCAAAATGCTGCCCAATGTTTTAAACTGACATTTTTCCTTGTTTGACCTTACAAAACATTTGCATCGTCAAATAAATGTTTGACCAAAAAATAGGAAAATAATTGATCATATATGTTTACATTATGGACACATTGCTCAAATTTTTGTTTTCCGGCAAATTATTTTGTTTTCCCAAAATCAGCTGTTTTTGTATTTACCGTCAAATAATATTTGGTGGTCAGATTGTGACAAAGAAATATTTCACATTTTCCGTCAAATATTTGCCCAATGTGACCTTACCTTAAGCAATGTTAACATGATTTCTCCCCATAAACTTGGCAGCACTGTTAACTTAAAGCAAACACAACACAAAAGAGAACACAAGAAAGTAAATGAGTGGCAACTCCCGTTTAAGCGCTCTCAAATAATAATAAATGTCAAACAAAGAAAAACTAGCCGAAAGAATTCTACATCACTTCATCCAAAGGATTTTATGATTTTATTTGTAAGAAAACCAATTATTACTAATATAAAATCAAATAATTCCATTGACTCATAAGAAACGGTAAAATAATCAACAAACAACTAGCGACGTGAACACATCATCATCGAAGGATGATGAGACAAATGAATGGGAAAACATGTTGGTGGGGTGCAATGACGTTGGCCAAATCAATATTCCTCTTGGGCATTGTTGCGGCATTTTTCCATGCCAAGCTGGTGGAGGGACGTAAACATCATTTGGAAGTGCAGGTGAGTTCGATGGGATAACAAGGAAACGTTGTAGAACATAATTAGTTATTTTTCATTGCAGACGGACAGTCGTCCTTACATTGCTCTCTCCACTTTTGGTTTCTACACCCATGGCCATCTCAATGTAAAACTAAGCAATCTACAATTATCATCGGAGACAGGCAATGAAAATGTAAGTACTTTCGAAATTTAATCAAAATATGCAATTGAATAAAATTCTTGATTTTACCCCCACCAGATTGGCCTGTCATTGGATAAGACCACCATCGATCAAATGAATCCCTATTTGGATTCACATCAAAACAAATGCCTGCTCGAAGAATCATCAGGACTGCAACGAAATGGTCCGATTCTCTTTTTTATGTTTGATTTGAAAAAACTACAGTAAGTATTTGTGGTAGAATGCAGTATGCAATTGCATTTAAAAACTCATTTATTCATAGGTGGGTATAGATAGATGTATAGGAATGTGTGTGTGTTAAGGGCGGTAACATCGTCGTTTGCAGAATAGTTGAGTGTCACTGTGACAACGAAATCAAAGAAAAACTTATTTGATATTAGTGCAGACAATCAAGTTTTGTTTGATTTTAATGAGTTGTAAGGAGGTTGGGTAGGAGGAAGTGAGATTACATAGTGGCGGGAGAAGCCTTATTGATTTGATTTATGTTGATTTTCTTTTTAATTCATAGGGAGATGGGAAAAGCAATAATTGCTACAAGTGTAGTGTTATACTCAAGAAAATGAATTACCATAATGAAATTTATATCCAAAAAACTGAGAAAATATCATCAAAGGCAGCAGCATTATTACATTAATTATAATTAAAAGCTTTAACAACTTAGAAGACGGGTCTTTTAACAACTAGGTGCCGCCACTTAGGTGCTTTGTGGCTACACAATAATAAGTCCTTTGTCATGTAACAAGATGCTGACTTGAATACCATCGAGAATCCTACGTGTTCCTACTGACTTTAAACATTTTAAAATGGACTCTGTGGGCTAAAACCACAAAGAAAATTAACTATCGAAATTCTATCCTAATTTCGATTAATTTAAAGATTATCACATCTAGAAGGCTCTCACAAAATTAAGACCAGAAAGATGGGAAGGTGGAAAATTATTCCCACAATCAAAATTATGACTTGATAACCATGGAGACTTCATGTTTTCTTTTTGTCCGGAAGCGTTTTTAAAAGTGGAAGATAGGCTAAAAGTAACCACAGAGAAAATTAATACTCGAAAATCGAGTCCTATTCCGATTGAATTGAAATGTATCGTATCTGAAACGCGCTATTGCAAATCAGACCAGCCAGAAGAGACACAAAGTTATCGTTGCCTCCACATGACACCTGTGGACCATCTACATGAAGAGGCGAAAGTCCTTCCATTACGTCAGCATAATCATATGCTTTCGTTGCAGTACCTGTTTGGATGTTACCTTCAGAGTCATCCCAACCTTCATATAGTGGATACAACTCCCCCACCCAGGCGAGTTAGGAAGGACATACATGATCTAGAGAGGGAGATCTAACGCTATAAGAAAGAACCTCTAGATCAAGAAACCTATCAGGCAGGTCTGAGTGTCATTCATACCGATGCAGTCGCAGTTACTATCGGGAATTATAGGAAGAATGCCGTTCTCGGAATCCACACCCATCGATTGCAGCTGTCTAAACAACCCAGGGAAGTTTTTGCGCAATTACGTTCAGGATGGTGTAGTCGTCTCAATTCGTATTGGGCACTGCCCGGCATGTGATACAGGGCGCACAATACTCTGCTCCTCTATAATTGCATAGCCGAACCTACCCAACTCACTCCAGAAATCTCTGGCTACAGCCCGTTAAAGAAGCCGGATTTTTAAACCTGGAGCTTAAACCAGATTGGCAGAATACAAACATCCATATGTACTACTGCTACAACAACAACTAAGTTATCATTATTAGATACATATTGAGGCTTCGGTTTTGAGTAGCTTAAATATCAAATTGGTTAAGTATGATGCTCATTGTTACTGTGCGTCATTGTTCTCTTCATATGAAGAAAATACGGATTTGAAAATTATTAAAAGCTGCTTTGAAGCATTTTCTATTAGAAAACATACTCAAAGTTTATTCTAATTTCGATTCAATTTAAATTTGTCACATACGAAAATTATGATTCAAATGAAAACCCAAAAAGGAAAGATAAGAGTGTAGAGTAGTCAACCCTAACCCATCCTAGATATTCTGCATAGCAGCTTATCACACACAGGGCACGTATGGCCCCTCATCAATGGGAGCTTCATCCAAAATTCACCAATTTCAATAGGGTCTCGTCCTTCAACAAAACATATTCACTGGTCAATACTGTTTTTCAATTGGGCAATAAATGCGACAGGACTTGGTTTTAAAAAAATTTGTAAATAAATGGAGGGATATATAAAAGTAGATGTATAAATCTACTCCAAATGTGAATTAATTAAAATGTACAACACATCCTTTTACATTTTTCAAACCAATGCACAACTACTCTACCATACAGGTACTCAGGAAGATCTTAACAATTTCATATTTTCCTACTTGAAAATTCCCGTCTCGCCGAACTTTTTGAATGTCCAAAGTGTGTAATATAAGCAAATCGATACAAGCTATGCATTAGCAACCAATTTACTTGTCTACTTGCCTTTACTATAGAATCAAGATATCAAATGACTAACACGGATGACAAATTAATGTTTAAACAAGTCACACGCACACACATTGCTTATCAAAGACAGTTATGTTTGTATTTTTAATCAGTTTGTTTATTTAATTTATAAATTAAAAAATATATTTTTTAAAAATAGATACTAAAAATTATTTTTTTCTTCTCTTTACCCCCCGCCAGAGTCCATGTAAAATGTTCACCCGAATGGAGAAATCAACATATTTATCGCGACTCCTCAATGTTTCCCATGTATCGCAATAAAAGACAATCAAAATTACACGAAGACAATTTAATATTGGGACCAAGACGACGAAGACGTGATTTAGCACCCCACGATGGTGAGGCTAATGTTGACACCAATGCAGCTGCTGCCGCCGATGCTGCAGTTTTGGAAGGTTTTGATGACGATGATTCATATGAAGCGCCATCGATACCATCTAAGCCCCAAGTACCCGAAAAGAAAGATGATGATAATGTCATATCTGAAGATAGACTAGATGAGGAAAAAGTTTTACCTGAAACCAAAAATAAAGACATCAAAGAAAATCTATCTGCCCCCAAAACAGAAGAGAAATTAATCAAAGAAAACCCCCGAGATAATGTGCCAATTGTAGCAGGAAATGTAGCTGCTCAAGAAACTGTTATTACCTCTGGTGAAAATATGATGCAACAGAATGCGTTCTGTAACAATATGGTATTGCCATTGGCAAAAACTGTTGTTGATGGTGTAAATTACTACAATATGTCGGTAAGGATAACGGATTTCTTTACTGGATCTACAAGACAAGATGGACTTTATAGACCTTGACTAATTGTTTTATTTTGAAAACGTTCTAATATTTGTTTGGTTTCAGTTCTCCATGTTTGTGGCCACATTACATGAGGAGGGATTGTACAATTTATATTTCCACAATTGTGAAAATTATCATGGATTTGAGAAACAAGTGTCGTTTGTGGTAAGTGTGAATGGGAGAAGTTGGTTAAGTCAACTGAAATCGAAAATTGATAGACTTACAAAACTTAGCGGGAAAATGAAATTATAAATTGTATACTGATGCAATGTCCATGTAAAAGTTTCGACTAGCATCGGCTTGATGCATTGGAGTTAAAATATGCAACGGCTTAATCCTGAATTTGACCATTTGCATATCTTTTGTATGACAGAATGATTAATTGCCCGTATTGAAAGTAATTCAGGTTTTGAAAATCAGACTTAGGGTCTGTTTCTACAAGCAAAAGAAAAATACAATCATACAAAAGCAGACCTTTAGTGCAAGTTTTGGAGCCAATTGCGTGAGAATGAGAAAGTGTTGTTTCTCACTTCGAGCAAAATTGCCCCCTAGTAATAATTATTCTTACGAATTTTTTCTTTTTCAGTCCTCTAAGAAACCATACTAACAAACTGTTTTAAATTTTCAGGTTGACATTGAAGAAAACAATAATGGCAATTATTTATCTGCCGGCGAAATGCCACTACCTGCACTCTACCTTATGATGTCTGTATTGTTCTTCTTATCAGGTCTATTTTGGGTATTCATTTTGAAGAAGAGCAAGTAAGTTTCCTTTGGCATACAATTGAAAGCATTTTTAACTACTTTATTTTTTCAGGCACACCGTTTACAAGATTCATTATATTATGGCAGTTTTGGTGTTCCTCAAGTCGCTGTCATTGATGTTCCATTCAATTAATTATCACTTTATTGAGATACGTGGAGAACATGTTGAGGCCTGGGCCATTCTGTACTATATTGCACATTTGTAAGTATGAGGGCAATGTTTTCGTAAATTTGGAAGATATTCAACAACAAATTGGGCTAAAATTCGTTTATAAAGTGGAAATTTTTAATGCCTTTGAAGAAATTTGGAAATTCTTACCAGAAATACCCTTTTGCGTTTTTTTTTTTTTTTGAGGAAGACCATACCTTAAGGTTCCGTTAGTGCCTCGAATATTTCCAGTGTTCGTAAGACTTACCAAGACAATATGGGCATCAATATGAGCTCCTAGATAACAAAAGCTGACTACTCACTAAAACTTAATTTTTTCCGCCCTGTGCTTCGGACCAAAAGAGGCACCGGTGGACAAATTTTTAGATGCATCCTCGAGGATGGTCCTAAACCTTAATCAAAGCCAAACGATATCCCCCTAACGCTACAAAATCCATGTTTCACCATATCGGTCCACTCCTTCTGGTACCTCCCCCACAAATGGTCAAAATTTTGAATATTCATGAAATTCATAAAATGCGAAATTAAGATCTAATTCCATTCAGACTTGGCACATCTCAATATTTATATCAACACAAAATCTGTTATGAAGATGGTAGGGATCGGACCATCCCTTCTGGTACATCCCCCACAAAGGGTCAACGTTTTGAATAACCAAAACGATCATAAAATCTGAAATAAGCATTCGGTTCTCTTTAAATTACACACATGACAATATTTTTATTAACCCAAGTTCTGGTGTGAAGATGAAATATATCGGTCCACTCCTTCTGGTACCTCCCCCACAAATGGTCAAAGTTTTGAATAACCAAAACGATCATAAAATCCAAATCCAATTTTGTAAATGTGAACTATTTAAAAACGGTTTCCTTTTTTTCAGACTTAAGGGAGCTGTCCTGTTCATAACAATAGTTTTGATTGGCACCGGTTGGACCTTTATCAAACACATACTATCCGACAAGGATAAGAAGATTTTCATGGTTGTCATACCGTTACAGGTAAATCACAAATATTCCTTTTTCCTGAATCCAATTTTAAAAAATAGATATAAATTTTACATTTCCCCTCAGGTCCTGGCAAATGTGGCCGAAATCATTATCGAAGAATCCGAGGAAAGTGATGCCGAATTCCGTACATGGCATAATATTTTCATATTTGTCGATCTGTTGTGCTGTGGCGCAATCCTTTTCCCCATTGTGTGGTCAATACGTCATCTGCACGAAGCCTCCGCCACAGATGGCAAGGCAGCCATTAATTTGCGCAAATTGAAGCTGTTCCGCCAATTTTACATTATGATCGTTTGTTACATCTACTTTACACGAATCATTGTCTATCTGCTGAAGATGACGGTGGCATTCCAATATGCTTGGCTGGATGAAATGTTCCGTGAAATGGCCACATATGTATTTTTCGTACTGACGGGTTACAAATTCCGTCCGACTTCATCACATCCCTATTTTGCTGTCGACGACGACGATGATGATGACGAGGTGGAGGTGTTGACGGAATCGGGTCTAACACACAATACCATACATCGTACAAAGGCTCAATCGCGTAACATTGTATCGGGTACCACCATCATCGAGGGCAACGATGAGGAGAAGGAGAATTTAATATCAAAACGGGAATCTAGTCATGAATACGATTAGATTTAATCAATAGAATAGCGTGGAAACAAGAATAACAATTATTTAGATTATTTGTATATGTTTTTTTTAATTTAATTTGACTTTATTTCTAAACCCGTGGGGTTACACCCTAAATGTGATGGCTGTCCAAAATAAGTGTCATGTTTTGTATTTCTCAATTAACACTGACAGTTTTGCAAAGCTTGGTACCTTGTTTTGGTCGTTCACATAAATTTTTTTTAATTCCCTCTTTTTGTTCTCTTAACTAATATCAGACAGACTGAAAATTAAGCAACTAAATGATGAGTATTTATGTTATATGGTTTGGTTTTATTTGTTCTTATTATGCCAACCATTTTTACTTCAACGCAATATCGAGTAGCGAAATTAGAAAAATATGTTTTCTTTTTTTAATTTAAGCCATTTAGAGAAATATATATTGCTTTCGCTATCTCTGATTCCAGGAACATCATACATATATATTAAAAAAATATGAACACAATAAAGGATAATTTTATAATTAATTTTTAGTCATTTTGTGAATGTAGAATAAAAATCGGTATGAAAATGTTTCGAAAAATGCCATTGTGAATTAATTTATCAAAAAATTGTTGTTATACTGAAAACTTTCAGCGCTTCCTACACATAAAAATGTTAGTCAAGAAAGAGACGTGGATGGTGAGGTCCGATTTGGAATTGTATGTCGCCTTAGGAATTGTGCGTCGAATATTCTATACATTTGCATATACAGAGTGAGATGAAAAAACTGCAACCAACTTCAGACTGCTGTCATTTCTAAGCCACTCGTCTGACAGCTGTTAAAATTATTCCAGTGACAGCTCATTATATTGTTTACAAGCGTACAAAAGCATTTTGGTGAGAATTTTCCAGAAAAAAGTTATTCGTGATGGGATTCAAGCGTGATAGTGTGATTTCTTTATTTGGTTGGAAAACCACAAGTGGCTATCGTTAGAGGATTCCAGCATTTAAATGTGAATAAATCTTGTGGCTCGTCGCTCGTTACCGTGATACTGGTAGCGTAGCCCGATGTCAGGAAAGTGGACGGAAGAAAACAGCAACATCAGCAGAAATGGTTTAAAAATTAAAGAAGCGACTAGATCGAAATCCGCGTCGCCGTGGCCGAAAAATGGCTCGTGAGCTGAACATATCGCACAATTCCATTCGGCAAATATTGAAAAATGAGCTCGGTGTAAAGCCATTGAAATTCCAAAAAGTGCAAGAACTTACACCACAAAAAAAGAAAATAGACTCAAAAGAGCTAAAGAGTTGCTTCGCTTGGCCGAAAGTAGTTTGGTTCTCTCCGATGAGAAAACATTCGTTGTGTAGCAGTTTTTAAACAAACAAAATGATAAACAACAAAATGATTTACTTGCCAAAGAGGTCAGCGGAAAATGTGCATCTTCGGTTGGCCACCAGAATTCAAGCGCAGGCCATGATTATGGTGTGGGCCGCCATAGCAGCCGATGGTCGCTCTCCGCTTGTATTAATCGACCGTGGCTTCAGAATAAATGCCGAATATTGTCGCGCAAATATTCTGGAGGGTGTATTAAAGCCTTGGTCACGCATACATTTTGGTCGCAGACCTTGGAGATTCCAACAGGACTCAGCACCATCGCACTCAGCACGCGCCACCCAAGAATGGTTACAAAATGAAATCCCTCGCTTCATTTCCAGCGAACAATGGCCACCAAAATCTCCCGATACCAATCCGTTGGCCGGGAATGAGCAAAAATATCGCAGAGCAACATTCTAGCAGCGTGTGACGGTTTTATTGGCCGTTTGAAGGCCATAATTCGTGCCAACGGTGACCAATTCGAACAAAATTAAACTTCTTCTAAAATTTGATGCTATTTTCGACATTTTTTGCTTTCATTCAATAAAAATTTAAATAAAAAATTTAAAAATTATGGCGTTTGACTTTGTTGCAGTTTTCTTATCTTACCCTGTATAGTTAAAAGACAATGTAAGACGAAAGTTTCCTGTGCTACACATATAAACGTACCTCGGATATTCGGTATTTAGGTGTTTTGAACCCCATTTTCTATCGGATTTGTTAAAAATTTAGTATTTGTAGTTAGCAATGGGTTCTACCATCGTTGTCAGAAGGTTGACTAAATTGTTCGAATTTTGTCGAACATTCTATGTGTATTTATATGCAGTTAAGATAAAATGTAAGCAACAATTTTAGGCCTTAATATTTCGACAATAAGATAGATTTAAGGCACCAACCCGCAAGAAATTAAATGCGATTTTACTAGTTATACCTTTTTATTTAAATTGATTTTAAACAAATTACTTGTTTAACATGTTTTAGCAAATCTTAGCCTTGCAATTATTTTCTCATTTTTTACCTTGGTGCACATTTATTTCAATTGTTTGTAAACTTGGGCATAAATTGTATGAAGAATATCATGTAGGTCGTTATGGAACCAACAGCCTATAAATAGAACAGGAAACACTTGAAAAAGTTTTGCAATTATAAAATGTACCACAATCTTACTCTGGTCAACATATATCCATCCATTCGTGCAATGCCAACACCATTAATGCAAATATGTTGATGTAGAATTTGCAGCGAGAAATTTTGTAGCTAAAGACAAGAAGGAAATGTTATATGTCTCAATATTTTCTTAAATTGAAGAATTTTCTCACCTGCAAGCTGACGCTTGTGTTTTCGTTATTGAACTGACTTATGATGCTGTGTAAATTTAAGGTGATAAATTTTACCACATCCATACAACTTTTCGAAAATATCAAAAACATTGGGATTTGCATGAATGCCGGTATTAACAAAACTAATTCTGAAATGATAAATTTTAGATGTTGGAAGATCTAGAAAAATGTAGTTCAATGATGATGCCTAAATGATAAACACGATTGAAGCTAGAATCTTTCAATTTGACATGGTGATGTGCGTGAAATAATCGAAATAACGGTTTTAGACCCTAGGTCTCTTTGGACCAAATCCGTTTCAGGACATTTGGAGTCGATCTAGCGATGGCCGTCCGTCCGTCGTCTGTCTGGCTGGCTGGTGCGCACGATAACTATCGAAGGGAGTATCCGATTTTATCCAAACTTGGTACATCGAAATATTATTGTGAAACTTAGAGCGAGTTCGGAGATGGACAGTATCGGTCCACTCCTTCTGGTACCTCCCACACAAAATGTCAAAATTTTCAAAGAAAATAATTTATTGCACAGAAAGAGAAAGGATAATCCGATTTTGCTCCAACTTTGCGCATCCTAATATTTCTATCAGTGCTAGGTCAGGTGCGAAAATGGACAATCCGGTCCACTCCACTAGGTACCTCCCCCACAAAGGGTCAACATTTTGAATAATTACAACTCTTATAAAATGCGATGTAAGAGTCCGATTGTCTTCAAATTTCACACATAATTTTAAATTTCACAATAATTTTATTAACCCAAGATCTGGTGTGAAAATGGAATATGTCGGTCAACTCGCTCTGGTACCTCCCACACAAAATGTCGATATTTCAAAAATATATTTTCTGCACAGAAAGAGAAACGATAATCCGATTTTGCTTCAACTTTGCAAATCCTAAAATTTGCGTCAGTGCTAGGTCAGGTATGAAAATGGACGATATCTGTCAACTCCATCCAGTACCTCCCCCACAAAGGGTCAACATTTTGAATAATTGAAGAGATTGGACCATTTCTTCTGGTACCTCCCCCACATATTGATTTTGGAAGACAAAACGCTAAAAGAAAGCGAAATAAGCATCTAACTCTCATCAAATTTGTGAGGTGATATATAACTGCGAACCCCATCTGGTACCTCCGCCACCAAGGATCAGCATTTTTAATATCCAAAACGATCATAAAAAAGAGAATTGATTATCCAATTCTCCTAAAATTTCACACATCTCAATATTTCTACTAAAACAAGATCTGGTGTTAAAATGTAAAATATAGGACCACTCCTTCTGGCAAATCCTCCACAAAGAGTCATCGGAATTGGAATCTCCGATTGCCTCTCAATTTTACATAACCCAATATTTTTATTTACCAAGGATCTGGTATGGGGATGGGATATATTGGTTCATTCCTTCTGGTACCTCCCCCACATCGGGTAAAATTTTTGAATAACCCTGAAGTTCATAAAACCCGGAATGAACACTCAATTCCTTTTAAACTTGGCACATCCCAATCCTTCTACTGACACAATATTTTCTGTGAAGATGGGATATATATGTGGAAAACTTCGATACAAAAAAAAACCTCGGTTTTCAAAAAAATTATGGTACGTAATGTACAAAAGTTGACAATTTAGGCCATACTTGAATTGACACTTTTAACTTGTTTTTATGTGAATGTGAAAACAAGATGTAAACCTACCTATCGGATTCCAGCCTCTATAAACCGAATAATAACCGAAATACGAATCAACCAATACCCGGACATAAATCATCAAAAGCACCGCAATAATCGAGAATCCAAATGAGTTTTGAAACTGTTCATACATATCGTAAATGAGCTGATACGTTTTTTGTTTTTCGGCAATTTTCGTTCGTAAAAAACACTCGAAACCACGAAAACCACTTCCATACGCCTGGAAACGTGAATAGTCGACCATTAAACTTAAATCCTGTTGCAGTTTCACCAACTCCTGGCGTATCAATTCAATGTAGAAAATAAACTGTAAATTACGCATATGCACGGTGAAAATGAACGGTACAAAAACGCTCCAGAACAGTACCAAGTGTCGCGTCATATCTTGCAGGGAGAAAAATATTAGCATAACACCAATTTCAATTACGACAATCGTGTAAAATGTCACCAAAAATCGACGATTTTTCTTAATTTCCTGTAGCCAAAAATCTTGAGTCGTTTTCCGACTACAGTTGGGATGGAGATTCTGCAATTCGCCATAAATCACCCAAAATTGATGGACGGAGACTCGTTGTAATATGGACTCCAAATATGAACATGTTACCGCCATATCACCGAATATAATTTTCAACGAATCATTAAAGTAGCCGAATTTGTCGCCATTGAAGAGAAAATCATCATTGCCAAATAGGGCCACATATGAGATGACATTGAATGCAATCATGAGGGTACAGGACCATAGGCGTAGATCCAAATGTCTCTTATGTTTATTTTCAAAGGACAAGGTGCAATAGCCAAATGCACGAAATATTTTAATGTGAAACCGCAGGAGTAGCGATAATTCTTTCACCATGGTTGCTATTTGACTGAATATGCTTCGAGTTTGTAATATTGGGCGGCAACTGCTGTTCATCACTCCCAACATGGTAATTTGTCAAGATTTTATCGTTTGTCTGCTACTTTGTAGAAATGAATTAAATGATTGGCTAATTTATCGACTCGCCGTCATCCAGGCAATACAACCCAATATTGAATCCAGAAAATTTGCACGAGGTTCACAATATGTATAAGAGTTTTTAAAATCCGGCGAGGAAAGCTAGAAATGAGAGTTTGTCTGTAAACATTTTCAGTAAGCAAACATGTACGCAGAAAAGCACTCCTAGCCTTTCAGAATTATTGACTTAAATTTGGAACCAAATAATTTTGGTTTCTTCACTAATTGGTTAACTCGCCTTGAAGGAGTATTCAATGTAGGTATTTTGAGGATTGGCAATTTGGGAATATGCTAAGTTTGAACCTCATTGACTTTACTGACCTTGCGATGTAATCAAATGACTTATTTCGAGTGTTCTACACATTTTTATGCCTATGGCTACATGGCTACAGAGGCTATACAGGATGAGATGAGAAAACTGCAATCAACTTCAGACTGCTGTAATTTCTAAGCCACTCGTCCGACAGCTGTTAAAAATTATTCCAGTGACAGCTCATTATATTGTTTACAAGCGTATACAAGCATTTTGTTGAGAATTTTCCAGAAAAAAAGTTATTCCTGATGAAATTCAAGCGTGATAGTGTGATTTCTTTATATTTGGCTGGAAAACCACAAGTGGCTATCGTTAGAGCACTCCAGCATTTAAATGTGAATAAATCTTTTGTGTCTCGTGCCATCGCTCGGAAGTGGACGGAAGAAAACAGCTAAATCAGCAGAAATGGTTCGAACGTAAAGAAGCGACTTGATCGAAACCCGCGTCGCAGTGGCTCGTCAGCTGAACAAATCGCAATATTCCATTTGGCAAATATTGAAAAATTAGCTCGGGGTAAATCCATTGAAATTCCAAAAAGTGCAAGAACTTACACCGCAAGAGAAAGAAAATAGACTCAAAAGAGCTGAAGAGTTGCTTCGCTTGGCTGAATTTGGTTTTCTCCGATGAGAAAACATTCGTTGTTCAGCAGTTTGTAAACAAACAAAATGATCGTGTTTACTTGCCAAAGAGGTCAGCTGAAAATGTGCACCTTCGGTTGGCCCCCAGATCTCAAGCGCCGACAGTGGTGATGGTGTGGGCCGTCATAACAGCCGATGGTCGCTCTCCGCTTGTATTAATCGACCGTGGCATCAGAATAAAAGACGAATATTAATTGTGTTCTAGTACTTTTTTAAAAAAACTAGCAGAAGAGAGAACAGTTCGAAATGTCATTCTCAATTAGGTGTGCTCAAAAAATAAGGGAACGGAAAATTAGCCGAAATGCGATAAAATGTCGAAATTCAAATTTCCAAGAGTAAACAGTCCAAATCGGACTGGTGAAACCTTACTGAAACGGACGCCAAAATTTAAAAAAATAAGTATTGAAGACGATACGATAAAATTAATAATCTATAATAATAATTAATAATCTGATTCATCATTCAGCCAGTCCTCTTCACTACTGGAATCATCCAAAAGTGCTCCATATTTTCTCTTTTTGTTTTTTTGCACTACAAATATTAGTTTTTCCTTTAGTTTTTAAGTTGATCATTTCTTTATTTTTGTTATGACGCGGGAAATGTATCAATACATTTTTCAACCTTGTTAGCCCTGCCAATTAAATGTCAAATTCACAATTTGCACATTTCTGCTCGGCCAAATTCATGTAGCTAAAACAAGCAGAAATGTGCACCACTCAGCGCCATTTTTTTCTCGAGAGAGCTGCAAGTTTTGCTAGTTTTTGCAGTACGGGAACGCGTTGTAGCAGAATTAGTACTAATTAGGTTCTGGAACACAACTATTATCGCGAAAATATTCGAATAAATCTAAACTTATTCTAAAATCTGAAGGTATTTCCGTTTGACGGTTTCATTGAAAAATGTAAAAATTATGGCGCCTGACTTTGTTGCAGTTTGCATTCCAACAGGACTCGCTCTCAGGACGTGTCACCCAAGAATAGTTACAAAATGAGGTTTCTCGCTTCATTTCCAGCGCACAATGACCACCAAAATCTCCGGATACAAATCCGTTGGACTATTGTGTCTGGAGTATTTTGGAAACCAAGATTGGCACTAAAAAATACCATAGTGTCGATCACCTCAAGCAAGCGCTTCGCCTGGAATGGGCCAAAAAAACCGCAGAGCAACATTCGGGCAGTGTGTGACGGTTTCATTGGCCATAGTTCGTGTCAAAGGTGACCAATTCAAACAAATCTAAACTTATTCTATAATGTTATGCTATTCCGATATTTTTTGATTTAATGCAATAAAATTGAAAAAAATTGTAAAAATTATGGCGTTTGACGTTTGTGCAGTTTTTTTTATCTCACCGTGTACAAAGCTCGGACAAGACGAAGATAACGTCGTATCTGCACAGTTTGACGGGAACTCATTTACCATAGGTCAACTTCGATGTAACCAAATGACTTAATTCGAATGTTCTACACATTTTCATACACACAGCCACATATTTACAGAGGCTATATATCAAAAAGTGTCTCATCGAACTAAAGGGTTTTAGGCCCAAGGTATCCTTGGAAGAAATCTGATTCAGGACATTTGGAGTCGATCTAGCGGTGTCCATTTGCCTGCCTGTCTGGCAGGTGTGAACTACAACTTTCGAAAGGAGTATCTTATCAAACTTAGATCGAGTTCGGATATTGAGAATATAGGCCAAATCCTTCTAGAACCTCCCTCATAAAAAAAAATTTATCTCATTCCAACTTTGCAAATACTAATATTTTTTATCATTGCAAGTTCAAGTGCAGAAATTGACACTATCGTCCACTTCTCCTAGTACCTCCCCCACAAAGCCATAGAATTTTGAATAATCATATCTCTTATAAAATGTTACTTCTTTAAATGTCCCACACTCCAATATTTTTGCAAACTATAGATCTGATAAGAAATCATAAAAGAACGGACCACTCCTTCTGGTACATTCCCCACAGTGGGACAAAGTTTAAAATAACCATGACGATCAGAAAACCCAAAATTAGCATCTGATTCTTTTTTAAACATGGCATATCCAAATGTTTCTACCAACGTAAGATCCAGTGTGGAGATGGGATATATCGGTTCACTTCCCACAAAGGGTCGGAAGTTTTCAGATTGCTCTCTGCTTGAAAAAATCTCGTAATATGCACGAAACTCATAAGTATTTAGGTTACTGTCGGCCTAGGTTGATTACGCTCGGTTCGGAAAGATTTACTCTCAGCTGAAAGTGTTGCAGTTAGCTGTTTGTTGAGAGGTAATCTCGAGCCAGTGGTATTTGGGTTGGGAGGAATTGGTTTTCTTTGCTCTAGACTAGTGTTGAACAAAATGACTCTAGACGAAAAGGTATGTGGTGCTCACATTTAAACGAATTTATAGATTTATACGAAGTGGTAGGCGTAACGTTTAACTGCTTAACAATGTCGTCAGCTGAAAACACCGATATTTTCGATACAATCAGAAAGAAAAACAGGTCGGCATCACTTGGGTGCCAATAAGACCTATTACGATGCGATGATAGGAAAAATAATCAGACATTTTCTGTTTCGTGACCAATGTCGGGAAATGCAGTTTTAATGCGGTAAATCATGCCGTACACGGATGCTTTGTTATCCATCTATCCAGAATAACGGTAATTGACAAGGCAATATAATTAGCCTTAGTCCAGAAGAAGTTGACCAACATCTTTGAACTTGACTGTTAATTATTTCGTAATTTATCTTCATTACTGAATCACATGAAAACATTTATTACAAGATCAAAAACATTCAATACATTTACAAAATAAATATACATTTAAATAACACTTTTATTATTAGCATATATAACTATTACAATGTCCCTCATATATTTGTAAACTTGGGCATAAACTGTATGAAAAATATCATGTAGGTCGTTATAGATCCAATGAGCTGAAACAATGGAATGTAAAAAAGTGTAAAGCAAGACTCAATAAATTTATAACAAATATGCACAAGTTGCAAACTTACTCGGGTCAACATATAACCATCCATTCTGGTTATACCAATACCATTTATCGAAATATTCTGATGTAAAATTTGTAAGGAAAAGTTTTGAAGCTGGAAAAAAATGGGAAAATCATTTATACATATATTTACAATTTAATAATTTGTAAATTGTTTATAAATAGTATAGGATGGACCAGAATTGTTTCACTTGTATTCCAGGCGCAAAAGACAACGCCCAAAGAGATCAATTATATTTAAGCGTCCGCAACTTCGTCAGAGAAAATTTCATTTTAAAATTTTAGATTCGTTTCATTGGTTCGTGTTAGTACTCAAAATACACTTCATACACCGTACTTAATTTTCAGGCTTTCAAGGTTATATATATTATTCAAGTTTTTTTCTTTTTCGGTAAAAAAAATAATAGGAAAATGTTAACCTTTGAAGTTTACCGAAGAGCATATTATTTAAACCCTTGCACAATGGTTTCATAGGCATTTTTTTTGCTAAAATGTATTTTCGTAATAAAAATTAGCAATCACCATATCCTAATCCTAAAACAACAGTAACTACTATTTCGAGATTCCAGCTCTATCCATTCACTCAACGGTCAAATTTGTATAATTTACTACTTTTCGAACTTCCCTTAAAATAATGTACTTACAGTGGTCTTAAATTTTAGAATTCCAGCTCTATCCTAACCCCTGACATCGATAGCATATTTCAGAATTCCATTTCTATTTACATTTTCCACTATTCGTTCCTTCATAAATTATTTCTAAAACCATCTCCTTCTCTCAACTACAAACAGTGACATCCATATCCAATTTCAATTTTATCCCTTCACCCAATACCAAATCTAGTACGAATATCTCCAATCAATCTCCATTTCTCAACCTTAGATACTAACAGTGACCATAATATAAATTT